TATGTACAGCACTTTTTTTCAACATAAGTTATTTTACAAGTGCCTTATAAATACATTTTACTTACTTACTATATACAAAGACTGGGACTGGGAACTCCTGAACTAGTCTATACATGGAATCTTAGTTGCAAAAACAGCCCATTTTGGATCTGTTGTTTGTTGTGATGTCACAAAGCACAACACATTTACATATGTTTACCTAATCAGGCTGCAGAAGTTTAGCTCCACCCATTCACATTGACGTTATAAGGAGTGTTTGAGCGTTGACTGCTTTTTGATTGGGGGCAGATCATAGCCCAGTTACGTATATCAGCCCTAAAGGCACAATAACTGTTTAATTCTAAGAGATAAAGAGATGTTGGGAAACCTTTTGCTGTCTAAAACCACGCATAACTGGACCTCATTAGCAAAAAATAAAATTCAAGAAAAATACAAGAAACAGGCCCTTTAATTTATCAGAAGCTTCAACCTTAAAATGAGGTGCTTCATGTAAATTGCAATGAGGCGCATCATAATTTATATTTAGTAGCATATACTGTCGTAATTTAGGTTGCCATGTCTTCTAATGTCTGCTGAAACTCACCCAGGATACTCGGAAAGAAAACCACCCTTGTGGAGGAGGAGATGGGAAATGCTCCCTTTACACATGAATGAATTCACAGCATGAATGAATGAGAATCGGTCTCAGCAATGTGGCTCTGCATTAGCGTCATATACAGATTTATATCCATAGTCACTGAATGTAACGTGTGTCTGGCTGTGCGTGCTCTCACAGTGCACCGGATGGCTCTGAGGAAGATCCATGTCAGGCTAAATTCGGTATTTGGGTTACGCTGCTGCTGCAGCATCCAGCTCCCGGCGCTGAGATGGTTAAAGGACACAGGGTGGGGTTTGGGGAGGGGGGACCAGCTGCCACCTTTTCTTGTGCAGAGCGAAGGAGGGAGGGAGGGTGATTTCCCCCACCCGTATTCAGGAGAGCCCCTCCTCTTGGTACTGGTTGGTTAGTAGCTCGTACAAGCAGCGCAGGCGTCAGCTGAGCTGATTCAGTGCACATGCTCAGAAATATTGCAATGAAACCTCTCAGCAATTTCCCACAGATTCATACACGCAGACACAGTCTCACTACTGCAACAGTAAAACACAGGCTAACATAGTTCTGATTGTTTTAGGGGCCCAAATCATGAAAAAATAACAGTGTTCCTTGCTTTTCTGAAATTTCAAAGAATTTGATGTAATAAGTGCAGTTGTATGCAAAAGTTTGGGCGCCCCAGTCAAATAAGTGGAAACACATTCTCTACAGAGAACCTTTCTGCACAGTTTAATGCACGATTACTGTTTATCTACTGACTTTAACATACTGGGGAGAAAAACAACAAAACATTCAGTTTTTACGGTTATTGCTAATATGATGTTATTGACAATAATTTTGATTACTTAACCATAAATCTGGCGTTTATCAGCCTGTTAAAATATTAGGCTCAAATTTACATGCCCTCCTAACAGACATGAGTTTCATCAAACAGAAAAATCAAAGATGAAAGTGATGGATAACACAAATGTTGGTGATTTTTTGTTCTATTTTACTATCAGATTTAACTGTACACAACTGTTAACTGTTATTTTAGCCACACCCCTGCATTTTAGACCAGAAAGTGAGGCTGCATCCCTGTCCCTCGAGTAAATTTGTCCCAAAGTCTGAAGATCAGTGTGGATCATTATGAATTGTCACTAGCGAAACACATATTTACTGCCGTTCAGTGAACTTTTGTGAATTTTTGTGTTTTACTTAAAAGTATAATGATTTTGAATGTGTACAAGTGTTAAAAGCTGTGTTTGTTAGTCATGTACTGGCTAGCGATTTTGAATGAGCCAAAATTGTCAGTACTGACACAGCTTTTTGTGTTTTAATGAGAAATATTGTGATGAATATTATATGTGTACAACTGTTCAGAGTCATGTACTGGCTAGTGTTTTTGAGTTCTGCTCAAAATTAGCTAAAATTGTCACTACCGAAACAGTCAGTACTGAAACATTTGGTAATTTTTTTTGAACTTACACTCTTAAAAATGATGGTTCTACCAGGGTTCTTTAGTAAAAAAAAAAATCCATATAGAACCATGAACACTCAGAGAACCCTCTGCATGATTAATGGGTTCTTCAGATTGATGGAGAATGTGTTGTTTAAAAAGGGTTCTATATAGCACCAAAAAGGGACTGAAGAACCCTTTTTTGTATTACATAGAACCCTATGAGTGACCCTGTAACCTGTAGAGTGTATGTTTATAAAGTAATGTTATGATTGTTTTTGTCAGTGACAAAGTTGAATGTTCAATAATTTTAATACAATAAACATATTTCATATGGTACAGTGTCACTCAAAGCAAAAGGATTTTATTCCAAGTCAATTAAAAATCTGAAATGAGTTTTTAACTCTGACCTTGAACAAATTCTTTAGAATTATCCATATATTAGCATGACGTGCTAGTTTAGCCTTCTAGTAGCACGACATGTTAACTAACCTCAGATTTGCTCAGGTTGTATAAAAAAATAGATAGACAGCTGGCTGTTGCTTGAAATCTACATGAAACAAAATTTTACTCTAGTTGCCTAATGTAAGGTGTTAGGCAACTCACCTGAAACTCAGCCGCAACAGTTGCAAGGGGCTCAACTTCATGAAACAGCTAAAGGAGGGCTAAATGTGTCCAGCTATGGAAAAGAGGGAAAAGAGCCTAAACAGCTACCTGGCTAGTTAATGCAGCTAGTTACAGAAACGCTAGCTTCAAAAATTCTCAGTTGTTTCTTGTCATCCCACAAAATGAAAAACCACTAATCTTGCCAAAAGTCATTAAAGAGAATCTACTTTTCAGGTCTTCTCTTTCATTTTCTCATCCGTCAAGCAGACAGCATACATAATCAGTTCTTTACAATGGTGTGAGTCGAATTGATCTTGTGATGCATTACCGGCTTTTCGATAGGCATGAAACTTCTTCCATGACTGTTGCATCTGAGCGTTAAATTAGTGGCAGGACAGTTTACATTATGCATCTGCAATTTAGTTTTATGTAGGTTTCAAGCAACTGAAATTGTTTCACCATGTAAAGTCACATTTGCATAATAAATGTTTCAGCATTTCAATTTCAGTATCTAAAAACACTAAAACATAGCTCTGCACACAGTCACTTCTCTTTTTATTTCCCTCTATATATAACCTGCTGGCACAGATTTACACTACACCCCCCTCTTTTTTTCTGAGGACTCCACTGCTAGCTTTCAGTTTAGGTCATACAGCCTCAGCTGTTCAAAACACTCAGTAACGCTAACTTAAATTTCACAGCGACAGAGACTGTAAGGTACGTTTTTTTTATTTGTTATGTCAAAAAGAAACCTCCACATTGTAGAAGCAATGTAGTTTGATAATAATATCAAAACGACATGTGAGAGTCTAGATTTATCGAAGACTAAAGTTTGGCCAAAGCTTTTCTGGCCAGCTAACTGCAGTCATCAGTCAGTGTTTATGCACAGGTGGGCTTTATGAGTATAAGAGAGGATTCATGAAGCAGTCTTTGGGAGTAGGCCTACATGTTTTCGCCACTGGTGTGCACAGCTGGTGTGTGTGTGTGTGTGTGTGTGTGTGTGTGTGTGGGGTGGGGTGGGGGGGGGGGGGGGGGGGATGCCCCGAGAGAGACTGTGAGCTTTACACTGTGAAACTTTAGTGCAATTTCAGTTGCTTGAAACCCACATGAAACTAAAATGTACTTGAGTTGCATACTGTAAAACATCCTGCAACTCACATGCTACAAAAAACGAGAGAAATTAGTTTAAACATCTGTTATTGTTAGCTGGCTAGTTAACACAGCTAGTTACAGAAACTCTAGTTTTGAGAAAAGCTCATTTTCTTCTTGTCATCCTTCGGTTAATTGACAAAAAACATTAACCTTGCCAAAAGTTGTTTGACTTCATCACAGGACGCATTACTGCCGTTTTCGATAGGCTGTTGCATGAAACTTCTTCCATGAAGTTGAGATGCTTGCAGCTGTTGCAGCTGAGTTTCAAATTAGTTGCAAGACAGTTTACAGTATGCAACTCAAGTGCAATATAGTTTCATGTAGATTTCAAGCAACTAAAATTGTGTGCAAGTTTACCATGTAAAATCAGCCTAACAGCCGTTTAATCGGCTTCTTGTACCAATGTTAATTTTTTGTGCTGGTCTGAGTGGATCAGACACAGCAGTGTCGCTGCTGGACTGAGAATAGTCCACCAACCAAAAATATCCAGCCAACAGCGTCCTGCGGGCAGCGTCCTGTGACCACTGACTAGAGGATGACCAACACAAACTGTGCAGCAGAAGATGAGCTATCGTCTCTGACTTTACATCTACAAGGTGGACTGACAAGGTAGGAGTGTCTAATAGAGTGGACAGTGAGTGGACACAGTGTTTAAAAACTCCAGCAGCACTGCTGTGTCTCATCTACTCGTACCAGCACAACACACACTAACACACCACCACCACGTCAGTGTTACTCCAGTGCTGAGAATGACCCACCACCCAAATAATACCTGCTCTGTGAGGGTCCTGTGGGTGTCCTGACCATTGAGTGCACCTATATGGTAAGAGGAGCTGATGAAGTGGACAGTCTAGACACAATGTAGGAGTACCTAATAAAGTGCTCAGTGAGTGTATAGTGTATTTTTTTCTGTTAACGAGACATTTTTTAAATTATTATTAATCCATATTTTCTTTAACGCCTCTCGACCAATCAGGAAGCTTTTGAAAACAGCCCACTAGCCAATCAGCGCAAGAAGAGGGACATGAATTAGCCAATCTGAGAGGTGAATTCCTCCAGCCAATCCTGGTGCGGGGAAGGGGGCGGGGCTTGCCGGAATACAGGTGGGGGGAAAAATAACGCGGGAGAGAGAGAGAGCGAGAGAGAGAGAGAGCGCAGTAGATGAGCAGGGCGACACTGCGCGAAAAAAAAAATAACTTAAACACGAGGGAAGAGGACGACACTGGTTAGCTTCAGCTTCAGCTTTCAGGGACTAATTAAGCCGCACATACTCCGTGTCGTTAACTTTGTGTGGTCGACACACATAAGCAGGTGGCAGATTTATTATTATTGCTATTATTATTATTATTATTAACTGTTATTATTGTAAAGCTTATTGTCTGTCTGGAAGTCCAGGAGCACGCGAGTCTCAGGCGTGAGTGAGAGACATAGAGGAAGCAAGCGAGAGAGAGAGAGAGAGAGGGAGAGAGAGAGAGCTAGAGCTATAGAGAGGGAGGGTGGATGGATGGATGGGTCTCGTGCGACTCAGACAAAAAGCAGGACCTGATTGAAAGCAGGGAATCAAACAGCCTTAGTTTTCTGTAGCAGTTGCAAAGGTGACTTAGTAACAAGGAGAGCAGCGCGTTGTGGAGGAAACCCAGAGAATGTGTGAGCTGTCAGGGGCGAGCGCGAGCCTGAGCACGAGCATGAGGGCAGGCTACTCGAGCATGGAGGAGGAGAAGTCAGGTCTGAGTAGCGTCGCAGCACTGCAAGCTTTTAGTGCGGTGCTTTATTATTAAAGAGACTTAAGAGCGTCCGGCGAGCGAGCCAGCAGGCAGGCAGACAGGCCTCCACAGCGCGGACTCCAGCCCTCCAGTGCGAAACTAGCCAAATTCACACGTAGTTTCTGTATGTTTACTGTGCGTGTGTGTATGTCTATGTGTGTGTGTGTTCGTTAGCACGCACACACACTCCATACACAACGAAAGCCAGCCAGAGCCCAGAGCGAGTGAGTAAGTACTTCATAGGTGTTGTGGTGTGCCGTGCCGTGTGGATTTGTGTTGGTGTCGTGGTCTTTTTGTGCACATCTCCCCCTACCCCCTTCCTTCTCTACACGTCTGATAAAAATAATGATGATAATAGTAATAATAATGATGATATTAGTGCGCATTCAGGCTCAACAAGTAGGTGCACACCTGTGACTTCACCTTTCCCTTCCACTGTGCCTATGGGTTAAGAAATAGAAGTAAAAAACAGACGGAAAAGCAAAGCCAACGAGGCTAAAATCGACTTCTTATTCGAATTTTCCGTTCCACCTTAAATGCCGCAGCAGTTACGTCCTGAAGCCTGAGGTGCCGGAATGTAACTGCTGCACCATTTAAGGTGGAACGGGAAATTCGACTGAGAAGCTGATTTCAGTCTCATATAAAGCAAAGCTAGACACAGCAGGGCAGTCTCTCTGTTCTTAACTGTGCTCACACAGCAGATACTAGACTTTTGGCAAACACAAATGCATTGAAAGCTGCAGTAGCATATAGCTAGCCTTTCTGTTTGTTTCCCTTGTGCACCCTATAACCCCGTCCCCCCTCCCTTTTCCGTCCCCCCCCTCTTCTGCACCTGCTCTGCTCCCTTTAGCTTTGCCTTCTAGTGATGGTATAACTTAAAAATCATCCTCCTGTCTTTGTTTGCTGTGATTTGACAAGGTAAAGGTGGGATATGTTACACTTTCCTTGCTTTCTGAGTGACCAGATTTGTGTCAAATCCTTTAAAGATTACTCACCCCTTCCCTGCTAGTCCATTTACTATGTATGTCCACTCTAGACCAGTTTAAAGGAATTATAAAGCAGCCTGTACTTGGACAACATGCGAAGTTCAGCGTGTGCCCACTGGCTTCTATTTTAAATGTGTTTCAGGTTTTCTAAGTACGTCAAAATAACTGTCCATCGATACAGCAGACGGCGATGCAGGAGAATTCCTTTAGCATTCCTTAAAGCTCTCAATAAGCTGCATAACTTATCGCAAAGTGAGGATTGGGCTAAACGTTGGGCTTGAATTACCTGGCTAACTAAGACTTCCTCCCTCCCTCCACACTTACCTGTTCACTCTTTCTCTTAACTGCGCTTTGCTTGATTCATCAAAACCTCCACCGCACTAGGTTTTCACCTTTAACCCCACGTCGTCTCCCTCCACCTTGTCCTTTCCCTCTTCTCTTCTGTGCCCCCCCCTTCACTTCTTCCTGTCTCTATTCCCCTGCTAAGAATAGTTTCCATCAAGTTCAGATGTGATTTGGCTTAACACAATTATATCCCATCTCTCTACCTTCTCTCCCCGGCTTCATTCCCTGAGTGCCTAATGGGAAACTATAAAGGGATGGTAATTAACCGGAGAGGGCACTTTTATTAATTAGGTTTTAACGAGAGATGGAGCTTGTGAGGAGGGGGGGGGGTTAAAACTATCTTAAGAATATTGTTAGTTCTAGATACGCGCAGCAACACAGGTCTCAAAGCTTTCACACGTCCTTGGAAAAAATCTAGCCAATAAGTCTATTTCTCTTCTTATTAGGACCCTTAGTTTTTAACCTCCCCCCCTCTTTTCTCTTTCATGTCTCTTATTTGTGCTTAAGGGTTTGGGATTGGTGGACAGGCTTCATTTTTTTTGGCCTTGAGGTCAAAGTCCTACAGATGACCTTCAGGCTGTATGTCGTTTTCTTAATACGAATTGGTTATAATGGTATTTGTTTACTTTTCCTCCCTCGTATGCTTGTTCCCTTCTCTGTTATTTTGGAGGAGGGTTTAATTAGAGCAGCTTACATGAGTGTTGGGGTTCATGCAAAAGAAGAGGGATAGAGAGCACAGCGAGCGTGCCGAGCATGATCCCATTCAGGCCGTCTTAGTAGGATATTTAAACGACTGTTGAAAGAGCAATATAAACTTACGTATATGCACATACTGAAGCTAAATGTAGAGCTTAAAATCAACAGAAGCATCATAAGCCATCCACACTGAGGGAGAAAGGAAAGAAAGGGGGGGGACTGCAGCATTTTGGGGGTTGTAGTTGCCTTATTTGCCCTCTAGGTGGCCCTTGAGCACCACTGAGCGTAAACTGCAGTGGGGTACACAGGAGAAAAAAGCAGGAGAACCAACACTGCACCACAGAGGGACGGACAGGGGGAGGGAGGAGGGGGATATGGCTTGATGCAGCCATGCCTCAGCACACCGGCTAGCCAGAGAGTGTGAAAGCAGATAGGAAAAGGGGAAGAAATGCTGTATTTTCCTGCATCTTCTTACCGTCCTTTGCTTTTTGCCCAGTAATTCAGGCATATAAGTATGCAGATATTTTCAGTGATCAGTTATCAGTGAGTTCTGATATTTTAAGGTGCACCCAGAGCTGACACAGGTTCAGTTGTGCTCATGCTGCTTGTATCATCTCCAGAAAAAAAGCATTGACCAATAGAATGGGACACCCTGAAGCAGCAGTACATGTGTAAGGTCACCGTGTTCAATGGCAAGCATAAGTTAGAGGGGTATAAAACCCCCCAGCATTGGGCTGTGGAGCAGTGGGACTGCGTTCTCTGGTGAGATGGATAGGGCTGGTTATGGTTAAAAATAGATATTGATACTGAAAAGTTGTAATTCAGTTTTATTTGTCCATTTTCCACTCTTTATCACTTAAAATTAAAGAGGCTGCTTTTTACTGTGCCTTTAAGACTGGCATATTTAAATGAGCTTTGTTCCAATTGGCTGTTCTGTATTGTGCCTCATTTTCAGGCTAAAACAGTCCTTTTAACTTGAGTTTGAGTAGGTGGAGCTAAACTGCTGTAGGCTGGTGTGTGTGTGTGTGTGTGTGTGTGTGTGTGTGTGTTTCTTGGTCTTTGTGACATCACAAAAACAATGAATTCAGAACAGACTATTTTTGCAGCTTAGTTTATATTTACACCGATCAGGCATAACATTATGATCACCTCCTCGTTTCTACGCTCATTGTCCATTTTATCAGCTCCACTTACTATATAGGTGCACTTTGTAGTTCTACAGTTACAGACTGTAGTCCATCTGTTTCTCTGCATACTTTGTTAGCCCCCCTTTACCCTGTTCTTCAGTGGTCAGGACCCCCATGGACCCTCACAGAGCAGGTACTATTTGGGTGGTGGATCATTCTCGGCGATGCAGTAACACTGATGTGGTGGTGGTGTGTTAGTGTGTGTTGCGCTGGTCTGAGTGGATCAGACACAGCAGTGCTGCTGGAGTTTTTAAACACCTCAGTGTCGCTGCTGGACTGAGAATAGTCCACCAACCAGAAACATCCAGCCAACAGCGTCCTGTTGGCAGCATCCTGTGACCACTGATGAAGGACTAGAGGATGACCAACACAAACTGTGCAGCAGCAGATGAGCTATCACACACCAACACACCACCACCACATCAGTGAACAGATTACAGGCTATTCAGAAGCGCAGATGTTAATGACTCACTTGCGGAATGCATTTTACACAGCTAGTCAGCAGGCTGGAATTTTGTAAGCATGTCTACTGGCTCACCGACGCCAAGACCGACAGCTTAGGTATTAAAATTCGGTATTGATTGGCTATAGTACTGTAGTACTACTGAGGCACTTCAGTCGATATTGAATTTCAACACCAGGGCTAGTGTTGGAGCTCCCATTGGCTTTAGGATGATTTGGAGTGGCGTTTGTGACCAAGAACTAGTCATACAATATCTGTACAATGCTCTTGGGGCTGAATGCAATCAAATCCTCACACCAATGTTCCAACATCTGGTGTAAAGCCTTCTCAGAAGTGTAGAGGCTGTTACTGCAGCAAAGGGGGACAAACTCAGTATATGATATGATATATCCCCATATTGATATCCTTCATTTCAGAGGAAATGCTGGAAATCTTTGGACTTATACTCACCGTCTTTCTATGCATTGTTTCTCAGCTGGTGTTCCAGTCCTCCACCGCCACGTTCATTTTTCCAAGCAACCCCCCACCCCAACGCACTTGGAGTACTCCCGCTTACACGCACACACTTAACAATGATTTCCTTTTTTCAGTGGGAGCTGTTTTCGCTCACTCAGCACACCTAATAATCTATCACTGTCTCTCCTCCAACTGCTCCCTCGCTCTCTGCTTTTGCATCTTCTCTCTGCTTCTGCTTTCCTCCCTCCCCCCTCCCTTTCTGTTTACCACATTTTCTGCAATAATCCTATCACATTTACACATCCTGCTGACTCCTGCTCCCCTTTTCGTCTTCTCTTGGCTTCCCTTCTCTTTTGTTATTGACCCGTCTCAGAGCAGTGTTCCTCATGACGCTCTTTGCTGTTGGGACTCTGAG